AATTCTTTTCTTCTTTCCCCTTTATTCTTTTTCTTCTTTTCCTGTTTTTTTTTCTTTTCTTTTTATTTCTGCTTTCTGTTCTTTTCTTGTTTCTCTTTTCTTTCTTTCTCTTGTTTCACTTTACTTTTTTTTTTTTCTATTTTTTTTTTCTTTCTTCACTTTAATTCTCTTCTTCTTTCCTGATTTCTTTTTTTTTTTTTCTTGCTTCTTTTTTTGCTTCTTTTGCTTTTTTTCTGCTTTCCTTCTTTTCTTTCTTTTTTTGTTTCTCTTTTCTTTCATTTTCTTATTTCCTTTTTTCTTTCCTTTTTTTTACTTTATCTTTATTCGTTTTTTTTATTTTTTTTATTTTTTCTCCGCTTTAATTCTTTTCTTTTTTCTTGCTTCATTTTTTTTTTTCTTTTCTCGTTTTTTTTTCTTTTTCTTTTATTTCCGCTTTCTGTCCTTTTTTTGTTTTCTTTTTCTTTCTTTTTCTTGTTTCACTTTACCTTCTTTTTTTTGCCGTTTTTTTCTTCTTTCTTTGCTTTAATTCTTTTTTTCTTTTATGCTTTCTTTTTTTTTTGCTTTCTGCTTCTTTTTTTTTTCCTACTTCTTTTTTTCTTTTTTTTTTTTCTGCTTTCTGTCCTTTTCTTTCTTTTTCTTGTTTTATTTCCCTTTATCTTTCCTTTTTTCCACTTTATCTTCTTCTTTCCTGCTTCTTTTTTTATTTTCTGGTTCTTTTCTTTTCCTTTTCATGTTTTGTTTTTCTACTTTCGTCCATTTCTTTTTTCTTGTTTTTTTTTCTTTTTTTTTTCTTACCTTTAATTTTCTTTTCCTCATCTTTTTTTCCCCACTTTATTTTTTTTCTTTTTTTTCACTTACTTTTTTTCATTTTTTTTATTTTTTCTTCTTTCCTGATCTCTTCTTTTTCTTCTTTTTCGCTTTGTTTTTCTTTTCCTTTCACTTTCTTTTTTTCCACTTTTTTTTCTTTTCTTGTTTTCTTTTTTTTCTTTCCCTTTTTCTTTCCTTTTTTCCATTTTTTTTCTTCTTTCTCCACTTGATTTCTTCTTTCCTGTTTCCTTTTTTTTTTTTTTTTTTTTTTTTTCTCCTTTTTTTTTTTTTTTTTTTTTTTTTTTTTAATTTTTCTTTTGCTTTTTTTTTTGTTTTCTTTTTATTTTTTTATTTTTTCATATTCTTTTCTCTCCTAGTTTATATTTTACTTTATTTCTT